ATTAGTCAGTATGATGGTTCAGGCTTTGTGATGGCATACTTATTTGTTGAAGGAAATAAGCAAGATGGAGCACGAACAGAAATTTTAGCTGACTTTTTTAAAAGACTACATAACTTAGGAATGAACAAACTTGTTTATTTATATACGGATAAGGACTTTGCACAGATTTCAGCAGCACGGCAAATATGGATAAATATTAAAGTGCAAATTTGTTATTGGCACTTTAAGAAGGCACTTAAAAAGCGATTAGTGGATAATTCTCAACCAAAAAGAATAACATATAGTTCTTATGACGCACATAATTCATTTAACTTCATTGATATTAAATTTTATCCTACAGAATTACCAAAGAGCAATTTTTGCTTTTGTCCAAAAAATCTACGACCTAAAGTTATTTCGATTATGGAGCATCACATGCATTTGCATCCTCTTATTCCTAATTTAGAAGGGATCTTTAGCACAAAAGATGAAATCTGGACACAATGCACAAAAGAAATGTATGAATTTTGTGTTACGAACGATCTTAAATACCTTTGGTCATATTTATGGACAAATTGGTATCGTAATGAACTTTGGCAGCTTTGGGTCCGTTCTGCAATATCTGATCGAATTTGTGTTTTTCGCACCACTATGCTTGTTGAATCACATTGGAAAGTGATCAAACGTAACTTCTTACAAAAATTCTTCCGACCACGGCTTGATCTTGTAACTTATATTATTACTTCACGGCTTATTCCACACCAAGAACAACAATATTACAAGTATTTTAACAAACGTGAAATTCCATCTTGGCGAAAAAACTTTAAAAGAGAATGGATTTCATTAAAAAAAAAGGAGATCAATAATACTTACATAACTGATATCGATAAATGGTTTTGCAATTGTACTGGATTCTTAATGAATCGATTTTTTTTATGTAAACACTTAGTTCAATCATCTTTATTTACTATAAACCCAGCATTTTATCATAGTGTTCAAAGACAAGATATCTATCCATTTATATACTTACCAGGCCAACAAACTTCTACACAACCATCAGTTGGCACAACATTATCGTTAAGTAATACGTTGAATAATTCATTGTCAGGTAAGAAAATATAAATTTTAATAAATTTACAGCTTATACAATTAAATAAAATTCTATTTT